GCCATGATATTGGCATAACACACACACAACACACACACACACACACACACTCTCTCTCTCTCTCTCTCTCTCTCTCTCTTATTACACCCTCCCTCCCCAGGTTATGTGATAGTCACTATTCTACAAAACAATTTTGCTAATGGGTGACAGTCTATTTAACAGTGGTGAGGGATATTTTTCCTGCGAAGGGCCATTTGGAAATTTATAATATCATTCATGGGCATATAAAATTATTAATATACACAGACTGCATGATAGAAGCCAATGAGAAGCTTATGTGTCTGTATTGTAATATACCAAGTTATTATTTCTTGAACTTTATATGGACAGTGGGGTTGGACATTCTTCACCCCTGATAAGACCTTAACAAATGTAATGTACCTATGGATGGATAGATAGTGTCTGATTCTAGGCTTGGAAACAATTTTTTTTTTGGCTGTTACTGGGGTCTGAACTCAGGACCTAATGCTTGCAAGGTAGGCCCTGTACCACTTAATCTCAGTGGTATTGAGTTTGCAAAACATATGGGAAGTGCTGGGTTTTACTCTTAGCATGATGGAGTAGGGGGAGGGCAGGTAATGGGCAAAGAACTTGAAAAGACATTTCTCCAAAGATTTATAAATGGCCAATGTGCACATGAAAAATGTTTAATGTTATAAGTTATTGGAGAACTGTGAGATGCTAAGGAGCTTCAGCTGGGGGTGCTGGGAAGGTGGCTCAGTGGTAGAGCGCTTGCCTTTCATGCATGAGGCCCTGGGTTTGATTCCTCAGCACCACATAAGCAAAAAGAAAAAAGCCGGAAGTAACATTGTGGCCCAAGTGGTAGAATGCTAACCTTGAGCTGAAGAGCTGAGGGACAGCACCCAGGCCCAGAGTTCAGGCCCCATGACCGGACCCCCCCCCCCCCCCAAAAAAAAAAAAAGATTCAGCTGGGTATGATATGATGGTGCATGCTTGTAATTGTAGCACTCAGTAGACTGAGGCAGAAATATCATCAATTTGAGGCCAACCTGGGGCTACATAGTCAAACTGTCTTAAAGAGAAAAGATGCTGATTCATACTTACTAAGATGACTACACCAAAGCAAAAATAACAGAAAAAAGAATATGTTGACAAAAATGAGTAAGAATTGCTCATGCCTGTAATCCTAGCCACTCAGGAAGCTGAAATCTGAGGATTGAGGTTCAAAGCCAGCCATGGGCAGAAAAGTCCGTGAGACTCTTATCTCCAACCATCAGAAAACCGGAAGTGGCTCTGTGACTCAAGTGGTAGAGTGCTCTCCTTGAGCTAAAGTGCAAGGACAGTGTCCAAGCCCAGAGTTCAAGCCCCATGACCGACAAAAAAACAAAACAAAAAAAAAGAGTAAGAATTGGAAAACTTGTACATTACTAGTAGGATTGTAAAATGATGCAGCCACTGTGAAAACGTTTGTTGGTTCCCCAGAATTAAATTATTGAATGATCCAGTTATTCTACTTCTAAAAATTGAAAATGGATAATTTATATGCATGTTCATAGTGGCAATATCTACAATGCCAAAAGGTGGAAACAATCCACAAATGTCCATCAATCGATAAATATGGACTATTCACTCAATGGAATCTCATTCAACAATAGGAAGTACTGACACTATTCCAAAGATAAAACTTGAAAAAATATACCAAACAAAATGCTTATGTACAGAAAATCATAGATTTTATTATTTAACTTATATGAAATATCCCTAAGAAAGCCAGGAGACAGTGGTTCACGTTTGTAATCTAGCCACTCAGGAGGGTGAGATCTGAGGATTGCTGTTTGAAGCCAGCCCAGGCAAGAAAGTTTATCTCTAATAATCACCAAAAAGTCAGAAGTGGAGCCGTGGCTCAAGTGGTAGAGCACTAAGCCTTGAGCAAAAAAGCTCAGGAACACCAGAGGCCCAGGACCCAAGCACATATGTGGGGCACACGCACGTGCCACTGACACAGACACACACACAATCCCTAGCAGGCAACTCATCAAGACAGAAAGCAAATTGGTAAATTGGTGGTTGCCAGGGCCTGGAGGGTCTGGGAATTTTCTTTAGGTTGATGAAAATGTTTGTTTGTTTGTTTTTACCAGTCCTGGGGCTTGAACTCAGGGCCTGAGTGCTGTCCCTGAGCCTTTTTGTGCTCAAGGCTAGCATTTACCACTTGACCCACAGTGCCACTTCCAGCTTTTTCCGAGTAGTTTATTGGAGATAAGAGTTTCACAAACTTTTCTGCCTTGGCTGGCTTTTAACTGCCATCCTTGTATCTAACTTAGCCTTCTGATTGGCTAGGATTACAAGTGTGAGCCAATGGCACCGGAGATGAAATTTTTTTTTTTTTTTTTTGGTCTGGTTGTGGGGCCTGAACTCAGGGCCTGGGCGCTGTCCCTCAGCTCTTCAGCTCAAGGCTAGCACTCTACCACTTGAGCCACCACGCCACTTCTGGCTTTTTTCTTTTTGCTTATGTGGTGCTGAGGAATTGAACCCAGGGCCTCATGCATGCAAGGCTAGGGCTCTACCACTGAGCCACCTTCCCAGCCCATGAAAATGTTTTGAAGCTAGATAGATGTGACATATGTAGCAAATGTCACTAAGCTGTACGTGATATATAAAAATTTTAAACTATAAACCTGGTGCCTTACAACTTATGACCCCAGCCCAATTTAAAAATAAAAGGTAAAATCGGGAAGGAACAAGATCATCATCTTAAACATCTAAAGGGCTATCATATGAAGACAGATTTTTTTTTTCCTGCATAGTTGCAGACAACTGAATCCGGAAAGCTGGACAACTCTGACATAATAAGGAAGAACTTTCTAACAATAGGGCTGTTAAAAAGTGGAATGGACTGCCTCTCAAGGAAGTAAGATTACTTTTTACTGAACAAGTTGGATGATGAATGAATTATAGAAAGTGTCTGTGGGGTATCTCAGAAGCCATTTTATTCTTTTTGGTTGAATTGTTCTCAAGATCAAGTTCTAGCCATCTCAGCAATGAAGCTGATGATTCAGTCTGACCATTGGCAACACACAAATGAAGCCAGAGAATTAAAGTATACCTCCAGCGTCAGTTCTGGCGCGCACCAACCTTCTCAATCCCGAGAGGAAGACTGTAGCACAGAAAAGGGAACTAATCAGAGTAAATCTCAGCCTCTAGGAAGCCAGCGCTCTTCTGGACTTGAGTTCAGTTTGTAATAGCCGCTTCCTGCTGGTAGTTGAGGGAGTTGCACATCGAGAGTGATACATAGATTGTTTTCTAAGCTCTTCTACGTTATTGTGAAGGACTTGGTAAGCGACGCTCGTGGTCAGCAACCGCGAAAATGATTTCCTGAAACTTCGATCACTTGTGCATATTCTACCAAAATGTCACGAGATGTTACTGAGAGAACGAAGTATGCTCATCTAATTGTCCCACCAGAAGCAAAGAGATTTGGGTAATTCCTGGACTGGACAATGAGACGCATTCACTGATTTTTATTGCGTGTTTGCGCAGCAGAGTTGGAAGTTAACACCTGCTTTGGCTGCGCGAGTCCAGGGACCGCTGCAATGGAAGCAAGCCGAGGCGGGCGGGGCTCCCCCGGGAGAGACCGGCCCATTTCTGGAGGATCCCGCATTCCTGGGTGGAATAAACTCCCCCGGGCACTAGAGGGAAGCCCAAGCTGACCCCCCCTCCGTCCCCCCCCCCCCCCCGTGACGAGTTTGCATATCAATGGCAACACGCGTAGACTTAATAATAGTTCACTTAGTTTATTTAAGCACCTCAAATACTATCCACACCAATAACTAACTCGTAGGCCTAAGCGTGCCCCAAACCCAGGGAAGCTCACGTGCCACGTCCCGGGACCGGAGGTCGAGGGGAGTCGGCCGAGGGTGTCCTCCGGGCTGCTCCGAGGCGTTGAAGGGAGAAGCAGCCGCCTGGCCAGGGCGGAACCTTCCAGTGGAGGGTCGGTCCGACGTGGAGTCACCTCGCTCGGGGAGAGGTCGTCTCGCTGGGTCTCTGCTGCCCTGAGTTTTCATGTTTTAGGCTGGCCCTTCCTTTCTGGCTATGTCTCATTTCCAGGGCTATGTTAGTGACAGCTTCGCTTCTGGTCAGGTGTGGTTGATGAGTGCGGAGCTGGCTTGCCTCTGGTTATCGATGAGGGCAGGATGCCTTGGTGATGGCTCTACAGGCTCCCTGGGTGTGTTATTTACCCACTCCATAATTCTAGCTTCTAACTTCGAAATCCTAACTTAACATATTATTTCATAATCCACATACATTCAATATATTTATATATAATAGCCTACCATGTCAATATTTTACAACACATCGTGTCTATTTCATAGCACACTATGTCAACACTGAACAGCACAATGTGCCAGTACACACTATGTCAGTACACACTACGTTAATATCCAGTGACACACTTTGTCAGTATTCAATCATATTCACTACAGCGGCCACACAGCATTGAAATTCGAGGCGCTTCTGAAGATTGCGCAAAAACCCCTCCCTCCCCAGCCGGCTCGGAGACATGTTCCTAAAATTCCCATCTGCACAACATAAACAGGAAACGTGCAACTCAAAAGCCCTGGCGGTGCAAATTCCAAGCTTCCAGCCGAGGGCGGAAGAATCTCCTCTTTGTGATGGTGGTGATGGTAGTAAGCAAAGGAAAGTGCACTTCCCATCCATCGAACCCTTTCAACCCCTCCAAACCCAGTCTTCCGAACCCAAAACGAGTACAGAAAGCGGAAGGAAGGACCCCAGCTCCGGGCCAACAGAGCAAGGGCCCGCCAAGCCACTGCCAAGGCCGTCGAAGAAGCACCTTCCCCGGCCCTGGCGACGGCGCTAGACCACAACGCGCCGGGCCGCCCCCTCCCCAAGGCTCCGGCGAGTCCGCGGTCCGCGGAGGGTGGAGCGGCCTGGCGCGCACGCAGCCCGGCTCCGAGACTCTGTGTCCGCTGGGGTGGGGGCGGGGACGGGGCGGGCGCGCGGCGCGGCGCGGCGCAGGCGCAGAGCGCGCCACGGTTGTCAAACATGGCTGAAGTGCCGCCGCTGCCGCTACTGCCGCTGCAGGGAAAATGCTGAGCCCTCCCGGGTCGGGTGGGTGGCGGCGTCGAGGGCGGCGACGGGAATCCGCGTCCCGAGCTCGGCGGCGGCGGCCATGGCTCGGCTGGCGGACTACTTCATTGTGGTAGGCTACGACCACGAGAAGCCAGGTAAGGGTGTGGGGCGGGCGCCGCCCCCGGGCCTCCTGGCCTCCGCCCCCGGCCTCTGTCCAGTGGGCTCCGCGCGGGGCCGGGCGTCGCGCTTGAGAGGCGGGGAGGCGGAGAGTCTCGGGCCGGGACGCTTTGGGCAGGGCCCGGAGGCAGCGGTGGAGCAGCAGCCGGCCGGCCGGCGTCGGGCCTTTGTGGCAGGATTGAGCCTCGGGGTGGGCGTGAGGGACCCTCACGGCGGGGCGGCTTGGGAGGGAGGATAGGCCGCGTCGGCCCGGTTCGGGGCGGACCAGCTGGGCCTGCCGTGGTCGAGCCTAGAGAGGCCGCGACCCTCTCTTGTAGAGGTGGCTGGAGAACCCCGGGCAGCGCCCTCGTGCCGGAGGGTTTGGACTCAGGACTGCAGGGCTGGGAGGGCGGGAACCAACTGTGCTAAATTCCTCGGGAATAAACTTCTGCTCTGTATCCTGAGTGAGTAAGGAGTGACGCAGGGAGGGGGGCTGTCCTCTCCAAAAGGAAGTGCTGAGTCCACTAGCTTACCTCTCCCCTGCTGTGTCGGCGGCCCGTTGACCGCCACGCTTAATTGCGTGATACCAGGAAAGGGAAAAGGATCCTTGCACCTTTAAACATTTGTGGGAGATGGTACCCGTTATTTCGGGATAGAGGTGAGGGTCGTCTTGTAAGCAAAGGTGATCAGCTGGCTGCTGCAGGTGATCTTGTTTCTCCTTAAGATGTTTTAATTGTTCTCTTTATTGGTCATAAACATCTTCGCAAGGAGCAATTTGGCAGGTGCATTATATTTTATATGCTAATTGATGAGTATTCAGAGCTCATGCACATTCATTTTGTTCCCGTTGCATTACTATTTAGCTAGCGTAATAATAAATTGAGTTGGGAAAGCACTTGTATTTTCAGGGTAACTCTAGTCCCACACTTGGAAGGAATTTTAGACATCTGCTGTACTGCCTCTTCATTTTTCAAAAGAGATGCTGAGATTGTGTTTTGTGATGGATACAGCCATGGGTAATGCCAGAATGCCATTATTCTTCCCACACTCAGCCTGCTGCCTCTGTTATTATTCCTCTCGTGAGAACTTGCTTTTCTTCAGTGGGAATCCTTCATGCTCTTTCATCTCTTAGTAACTCATTGCCTGTTTAAGGTCAATTATTAAAAGAAGGGGTTGAGAATTATATTTAGAGTATCTTCTGGCTCTAGAATTTTATAGTTTCTAGTAATTTTGTATAGTTCAATATTGCTTTCTTTCCCAGTTAACCATGTGAAGAGCCAGTTTGTTTTTTAGCCTTGTTTAGTTTTCAGGTATATTGTTCTTTTTTTCCCACTTTTAAACAATTCTGAAACAGCCACAGACTTGAAAGGTTTCAAGTAATGTACAAAGTATTATTTGTTTCCCCTGAAGAGTTTGAGAAGAAGCTACTGATTTGGTGCCCTGTCACTTTCGAGTGTGTTGGTGTACATTTTATTCAACCAAGATCATTCACCAACATAATCATAGTACTGTCATAAAAGTTGAAAATTTACACTGATATAGTTCAAGTTTTGTTAATTGTGCTCTTATTTTTTTTTTTTTTTACTGGCAAAAGGATTAGATTTAGAATTATGTGTTGCTCTGTTTATCTATTGCTTTATTTATTTATATTTTGGTGGTACTAGGATTTAACCCAATAAATTTTATTCTTTTACATAAAGCAGTGACTTTTTAAATGTTTTTTGGTGGTGGTGTACTTTGAACTCTTTACCACTTGAGCCATTCTCCTTGCCTTTTCAGTGACCTTTGACAAATACATACACAAGTTCAACCCCTGCCACAATCAAGATGTAGTAGTACATTTGCATCCCTCTAGAAACTTCTCTCACACCCTTGCCCTTTAGCAGTCTATTCCCTCCCTCACTTTTGGCAATCAGTAATCTCTTTTCTGTTTTGTCTTTTCTAGAATGTCATATAAATAGAATTGTACAATTTTTTTTTTTTTTGGGTCCGGTCATGGGGCCTGATCTCTGGGCCTGGGCACTGTCCCTCAGCTCTTCAGCGCAAAGCTAGAGTCCTACTTGGGCCACAGTGCCACTTCCAGCTTTTTTCTGCTTATGTGGTACTGAGGAATCAAACCCAAGGCCTCATGCATGTGAGGCAAGTACTGTACCACTGAGCCAACTACCCATCCCATCTATTTTGTTTTATATTGTTTTAAAAACTATTTTTCCATTGGCAAATAAAAATTGCTTATAATTGTGATGTACAGTGTGAGGGTCCTAGGATTTCCTACGCTATTTATGGTCTAGAAGCTGACCTTCTGTGGCTTCTTAGCAGAGGCAGTATGTCTCCATCTTTCATTTTCTTTTTTGGTCAGTTGTGGGGCTTGAACACAGGGCCTGGGAGCTGTCCCTGAGCTTTTGTGCTCAAGGCTAGTGTTCTACCACTCTGAGCCACAGCTCTACTTCCAGTTTTCTGGTGGTTAATTGGAGATAAAGTCTCATGGACTGGCTGGCTTTGAACCCTGAATCTCAGATCTCAGCCTCTTGAGTAGCTAGGATTACAGGTGTGAGCACTCAGCTTGTGCATTGGTTTTTGTTTTGTTAGCTCTTTTCCTATGTATATTGATTCTTTTTTATTGTTATTATACAGAGGTTTATAGTTTCTTAAGTCAGGTAATGAGTACACGTCTTTTCTTCACTCCCAGTTTTTCCTTACCCCACCTACTTGTGTATTTCATTTTCAACATAGTATCTAGTGACTACCACTACCACATTTGTTTACCCTTTGTCCCTCCATTTCATTGTCCCCTCTCTTATCTTGCCAAAGACAGATAAGTGAACAAACAAGACAAAAAGAAAAAACAAAACTCCCAAGCCCTTCTTGTTCCCATTTCCTGGAGTTCATTTCAATAAATATTATTTTATATGATTAGAGGCATATAGGCATTGTGCCTTTGTGTGCTTCCCCTCAGAATGTCTTCCTTTGGTCTCACTGTGAGAGACTACCTAGTATTGATAATTTTATAAGTAGGGTCTTGCTTTATGCCAGAGTAAGCCTGGGCTGTGATCTTTCTATTTGTTTTTCCTCTGTTGCTGGGGATAACAGGTGTATATCACTGTGCCCAGTTGGCCTTGAACTACAATCCTGCCTACCTACATTACCTGATCTCTGCCTACTAAGTAGCTACTATTGCACGTTGCCACTGCATCCAGCTTTTTTTTTTTTTTTTAATGCTGGTCCTGAGCTTGAACCCAGGGCCTGGGTGCAGTCCCTGAGCTTTTGCTCAAGGATAGTGCTCTATCACTTGAGCCACAGCTCCACTTTCAGAGTCTCATAGACTTTCCTGCTCAGTCTGGCTTGGAACTGTGATCCTCAGATCTCAGTCCCCTGAGTAGTTAGGATGACAAGTGAGCTACTGGTGTCTGGCATTGTTTTCATTTATTGTTTTGTTTTTGATGGTACTGTGGTTTGAACTCAGCTCCTAGTGTTTTCTAGGCATGTTTTGCTATTCTTTTTATTTTTTTGACAGTCCTGGGACTTCAACTCAGAGTTTGGGCACTATCTCTGAGCCTCTTTTGCTCAAGGTTAGCACTCTACCACTTGAGTCACAGTGCCACTTCTGGCTTTTTCTGTTTATATGATACTGAGGAATCCAACTCAGGGCTTCATGCATGCTGCCTAGGCAAGCACTCTACCAATAAGCTACATTCCCAGCCCTTGCCCATATTTTTATTGGTTGTTTTACTTGCTGTTGAGAGTTTTCTTCTGATTCTAGGTGCAAATCTTATGAGTATTTTGTTTAAATTTGTAGCATGTCCTTTTTTTTTTTTTTTGGTCGGTCATGGGGCTTGAACTCTGGACCTAGGTGCTGTCCCTCACTCAGCTCTTCAGCTCAAGGCTAGTGCTCTACCACTTGAGCCATGATGCCACTGCCGGTTTTCTGGTGGTTAATTGGAGATAAGAGTCTCGGACTTTTCTGCTGGGGCTGGCTTTGAACTACAATCCTCATAGCTCCGTCTCCTGAGTAGCTGGGATTACAGGCGTGTGCTACTGGAACCTGGTTGTAGCATGTCTTTTAAAAATGAATTTATTTTGAGACAGGATCCGTTTGTAGCCTTGAATTGAGTATTTTTCTGTGGCAACCTGTTAAGAATATCTTTTTTTTTTTTTTGTCAGTGTAGGGCTTGAACTCTGGGCCTGGGCGCTGTCCCTCAGCTTTTCAGCTCAAGGCGAGTGCTCTACAACTTGAGCCACAGTGCCGCTTCCTTTTTTTTTTTTCCTTTTTTAAAGCAGACAGAGCAAGTTTGTTTGAAAACAGTATAGACTCTCCTTAGAGAAGGGCCTAGGTGCCTACAGTCACAATAATATCTTTTTTTTTTTTTTTAACTTTTTTTTTTTTTTTTTTGGGTCCAGTCATGGGGCCTGAACTCTGGGCCTGGGCGCTGTCCCTCAGCTCTTCAGCTCAAGGCTAGCGCTCTACCACTTGAACCACAGCGCCACTTCCAGCTTTTTTCTTTTTTTGTTTATGTGGTGCTGAGGAATCGAACTCAGGGCCTCATGCATGCAAGGCAAGCGCTCTACCACTGAGCCACCTTCCCAGCCCCATCTTTTTTTTTTTTTTTTTGTCAGTCGTGGGGCTTGAACTCTGGGCCTGGGCGCTGTCCCTCAGCTCTTCAGCTCAAGGCGAGCGCTCTACCACTTGAGCTACAGCGCCACTTCCGGTTTTCTGGTGGTTTTTTAAATTGGAGATAGGAGTCTCACGGTCTTTCCTGCCCGGGCTGGCTTTGAACCGCGATCCTCAGATCTCAGCCTCCTGAGTAGCTAGGATTACAGGCATGAGCCACCAGCGCCCGGCACAATATCTTTTAAGGAGTGGGTGTTTTATTTTGGAACTCCTTTTAAACATTCAGTTGTCCTCAGAGCTCAGCTTCCTGAGTAGCTAGGATTATAGGCATGAGCCACTGTGCTTGGCTCATTAGGGTCTTTTATTGGCTGATTGATTTGTCAGCACCAG